GGGGGGGGGGAGGGAGGAGAGGTGGCGCTCAGATCTGCAATGGCCCCTTGCAGGATCTACGTGTGTGCAGGGGACAGGAGATCGACATATATCGACATCGATAGAAAAAAAAAGATTGTCGCTCTACCTTGACCCGTCTTGACCGAAATCATCAACGGTACAGTACTGGCGCGCGTTCCTAAAGGAATAGTCCCGGTATCGGCGTACATTCGTCTTCCCTCGTGGTGAGTGTATATCCGTGCATGAATGCGATGATGCCAAGGCAACGAAAAGCATCGTACGCGATGCTTCGCAAAGGCTGAGACGGAGAAGGGAGGAGGGTGATGCCCACGTATGCATGACGCTGTTCACGCAGTCGAGACATCTAGCCGCCAAGTCGTACGAAACACAACACTTGGGCCTTAAAGCGTCGAGAGCTAAAATATGTGTGTGGAAAAGAGATACAAAAGAGAGGCCTCACACGTCTCAAGCTTAGGGCAGATCCACATCAGCACCTCTCGGCGAAAAGGTGCTCACGATGCCCAACGCGGCCAAGGTCAAAGAAGAGCCCGTCATTGTGGGCAACGGAAGAGACGAACACAACACAGTACACATAGAAAAACGGGGGGGGGTCCTAAGCAGTTTTGCCTATGTAAGTGTTTGTAGGGCCAAAAAAACAGTACACCACAGCGGCGCCTGTCGGCAAGAAAACAAAAAAACGCGTCCGTAGTTCCACGGGGGTCATGCATCTTCCCGCCTTCCTGCCTTGTGCGCAAAACGCGATGTTCAAAACCCGGCTAGAGAAACACAGGGTTCTTGCAGCGAACCGACTGTGTTGTGGAAACCCGAGGGGCTCTTGTTGGGAGTTGGTAACAAATAGTTCCGCCGCGTCAGGTCAGCGTCAGAGAGCAGCCTTGCTGCATCAGTGCAAAAGCCGGAAGACATAACACAATCAGTGAAAAACAAAAAAAAAGGCGATGCCGCACAATTGGCTTACGGAAAGGGCCCGGTGCGATCCATACTCCTAATTCCCACTCACCACGGGGGGAATCATCTCTTTCAAGGTGTACCACGGCGTCTTCTTGGCGTAGAGGGCCATGTACAATGAGGCCACGTAGCACAGGACGGTGATGCACGCGAGAACCGCAGCCGTCCGCAAAGGGTAGGGCACCCTGGTGTGCGTGTGTGTGTTTTTTGTCGTTGCGACCAACCGGAGGGGGGGGGGGGGTTCGGGAGGAAAAGGAGAACAGGCAGGAAAGCGGGGTACGCAGGAGGACGGGGGAAAGAGGCAGTTTCACTCTTGCTCGAGCGCTAGGACGCTGCTACAAAGGAGCACAACACGTACCACGGCACATGGCGATGACACAGAGAGCGCGAAAGGGGAGCAAAAAAAAAAACTGAGCAGTTCATTTGGCGCGAACAAAATCAAGGTTACGAGGACAGGTCTCAACAATCCCACGAACGAGGGAGATCGTGGGTTCAAGTTTGTTTTTTGTGTGTGGGAAATGACGGGAAGTGCACAAATAGGTAATCCGTACCAAAATTGCACAAAAACAAAACAAAACGAATCACTAAATCAGGCGCCGGTCTGAACTTGCGCGACACCAGTATCAAATGCAATCCGTACGCACGCCCCCTCTCGGTTGTCGCTCATGCGTGCAATACCGGACACGCGTTCGGAGCTCCCTTTTCCAACTCCTTCGCAGCTTTTCTTCCCGTTTTCACCGTTGTCACGTCTAGCTGGCCACGGTTCACGTTACACAGTAGCCCGCCGCGCTCTGATTGCTCGCAACTCCTTGTCTGGTGAGCGACGTCAGCTCATGGAGGAGATTTCAAAATCTCATGCTTTTGCCTGCAAATGAGCTCCACTTGCTCGCCACAGCCGTCGCATTCCCTTGCGTTGACTTCCATATTATCGTTGCGTACATTTACCTCTTCCAACTCGCTGCGTAGTACACCCCTAGGATGGCCGCGGACATGAAGAGGTACAACACCGACACCACCATACCCTCATACCAGAACTGGTCTCTCCCCCCCGGGCTCATCATCGCCGTTGCCCCGTCCTGTTTGGCAAGAGCAGAGCGGGAAACAGGCGGGAATACAAGACACCAGAGCGGGCCTCAGAAGGAGAGGTCAAGAGAGAATAAAAGAACGTGTTTTCTTGTTGGACTCTTCGTTCACGGCGCCTGTTGATTGGCCATCCCCTTCGCACCATCGTCATCATCATCATCATCATCATCATCATCATCATCATCATCATCATCAGCAGCAGCAGCAGCAGCAGTAGCATCAGCATCAGCAGCAACGCAAGCGTTCCCCTCGTTTCGCGAGCTCTTCTCCACGACCTTTGTGTCTCAGCTTCCTTTGCGGGTGGTGTGTCACGTCGTCGTCTTGGCAACAACGGCAGTCACTCTCCCCCCCTTTCCAATAGATGCGCCCACACTTAGACGTGCCGTGTTGTTGCTGCTTCGCGCGGGCCACGAGAAGAGAGAGAGCCCGCTGATGTACGCGGGAAACCTCGCCCGATGGAACTCCGCGACTTCCCGCAGAAAAACATGCGACTTCCCGCAAAAAAGCAAAACGTGCACGGTATGCGATGGGCATATGCATGGATCCGGCTCGCGCCACTCGGAAAACGGTGTGGAAACCCATACCGGCGGGTCCGAAATACGGTACTGTAGATAGGGCCGGGCCGTCCGCCCGTGCTCACGGGTTAGGCACGAACCAAGATAAAAAAAATCCACAACCCCTCCCTACAAGTTAGGACAGGACAGAGAATGCTGTTTGCAAACAACGCCGACTGGAATCTCTCGAGAACGCAATTGACGATTTCCACCTTTGTTAAATTATGCCAATATTGCCAATGAGAATAAACAGTTAGGCATTAGACTAGGACACTAACTTCGACGTGATGTTTGGAACCTCCGGAACCATCACCTGGTGGTAGCCGTGTGTCTTGGGGTTGCGAATGATGCAGTAGATCATGCCCCCGACGCCGGTCATGTAGCACCCCATGGACACCGCGAACCAGAGCCCCTTGTGTCGCACCGTTGTCATCACCTGCGGTAAAAAAACGTGCCAGATGCAATGACGTGGTTGCTGCTGGTGCTGCTGGTGCGGCTGCTGCTGCAGCACGGAGAGGGTTGTGGTTGTGAACCGGCTCCCCTACCCTCGGCATGTGTCTCCCTATTCATAGAAGCTTCTTGCAACCACTGCTGCTGCTGCTGCTGCCGCTGCTGCTGCTACTGCTGCTGCTGCTGATGTCGTCGTCGTCGTCGTCGTCGTCGTCGTCGTCGTCGTCGCTGTTGTTGTTGTTGTTGTTGTTGTTGTTTTTGCTTCTACTGCTGATGCTGCTACCGCTACACCACGACAAACTGTTCGAAAGCTTCCCCCGCTCACTCTCACTCACCCTTGACGGCACGGCCGCGAGGAAGTGCGCGGCGACTCCGAGGATAACGCCAAGGAGCAAGGCGGCCGGCAGCAGCCCCGACGAGTCAGCAACGATCACAACCTGTCGGGGATGATATGCACGTGTGCATGGCACGTTTGGTTTTCATCGGCACCACACGTAGTACATGAAAACCCAGCAAATGGAAGCAAGCCTCGAAGGCGGAGTGCGGAGGAACCTTTATCTACAATAGTACGCGCCCGCAATTCAAGAAGCTCCATCATAGTTTCGGCCGAGGGTGGGGGTTCTTACTGTATTCCTAGGGTCACGCTATACGAATGGTCGCCATGTAGGTTTTAGTTGAGGGGTTCTTAACCGAGCTCACAAATGGTGCTCAAGTTCTTAGTTTTTCGAGGCTATATTGATTTCTTGATTGCCAAGTTATTTGTGTGCGGGCGCAAGCTGTATTCGTCTCCCCAAGGCTCCGCTCTCGAGTCGACGAAGGACGGGAGGTACACCAACAAGGGGGGCTCCGGCCAGGAGGGGAGGCTGCAGGGACAGAGAGTGAGAGAGTGAGAGAGTGAGAGAATGAGTGAGTGAGCTCACGTCAGCCTCCAAAAGGGTACCACCACAGGAGGGGAAAGCGGAAGACTCTGTTTCCCCAAAAAGCTGACTCTCACACATGAAAACAAAAAAATCTCGATGTCCAAGCCGCTCACTTAAAAAACAGGGCTCATGCGCGGAAGAAGAAGAATCAGAGCAAGGACCACTGCGGCACCTCCCTTTGACGCGACCAACACGCATGGCACGCCGTGCCTACTGCTGGACACCAATACGTTATTCCCCGCTCGACTTCGACAATTTTTCAGCCCAATGTTGAGTTTGCCTTCTAACGTTGAGTGCCACAGCGGGGGG